TGCTATTACCCAACAAAGATATTTTTAATGAGACATACATATTTTTCAGTGATTCATTAAAAAATTTGTAACATTCATTTGAGGAAAAATAAAAATTTACATTACAAGCATAGTTCGATTGAAATAAAGAAATTCTGATACAGTTTATAGTTACATTGATATATCTAAAATCATAATGGTAATCTTCGAATTAAAAACATTTAGAACCATCGAATTTTGTCATTAATATTTTATTCGTAATATGAACTATTTCAATAACAAAACCTGTTCACTTATGTGAGACAATCTACGCGCGTATTTTACATTGCAGGTCCAAAGTAAACTGAGTTTCGTTCATATACTGCACAATAAATAAAAATAATGTTTAGACATATTTCAACAAATTTTTATTTAATGACAATGAAATTCTAAATTGAAGTTGTAATACTCAATATTCGATTTGCTACTTTGCAGTCAGATTTGTTGGCAAATTCTGTTCGAACTACTTCCGCATTAGGCTCGGTGTTTGTGAGCAATGCTTACCGACAGATTGTAATAGCAAATACAAGATAAGAACCAAGAAAACTTTCAGCAAGAGCAAGTTTCTCCTAAAACAAGTTCAGCCCAGTTTTTGCCTTAAATTTGCTCTCAAGACTGTTTGTCTTTATTACTACGTAATTTATACCCATTTTATTTCCGCATTAAGATCGAGCTTTGTCAACATAATTTGATATGCAAATTATACAATATATATATGACTGACTCCGTCGTAAACTCCGTTCGAACATTAAACATATTAAACTAAAGCCTGATTGGGGACCATGGCCAACAAAATTGTCAATCAAAGAAATGGTATTACAAATATTGTGGGAGTTGGTATTTAATAATTAATTGACAAACGTGTGTTTTGAGGAACTATTTAAAGAACAATATTTTACTAAGAAAACAAATGTTGAGAAGATTTTTTGGTGTGTGCTACAAAATATTCCAAATCTGTTTACCCAGATTTGATCAACTTGTTTTATTATTTTCATTGATGAAAATACAGAAATCGTTAATATACGAACAAAGAGATATAATAATTCAAAGAAAGTATTTGTTTACGCTATTATATCTATTCTAACTTTCCTATATTTCAATGAGTTCCATACATTTTAGATTGTACCCACAGTGTTGAAAAATTTTGAGAATAATGTGATAAACCTTGAAATACCTATATGCAAAAGTATGCACGACTTACTATTCAATTTTACTCTTAGTATTCTAGTATAATTTGGAACATAAATATTTTCCATATTTAGAACAGATGAACAATGGCGACAGCAGATACGAAAAAGAAGAGAAAATATTTGAAAAATTTGACTGCGTGGAACATTATACAATATAAATACAATAAAGGGGTGAAGACACCACACTGTACATTTCGTACAGTTTTTCGTACAATTTCGTACCAGATATATTATTCAAACATTATAACATAAGAGTACAAAGAGTACAAAACAACAAAACAAAATTTACTGTTTTTAGAAAAATTACACTCTAAATATTTATTATAATTAAAGTACGGTGAACATTTTCAATCAAAAATTCAGATTCTGTTTTAAAATTAGTTTCAGATATTAATATTTTTATTTTCTTATATTCGTTTTAACTTTTTAGAATAATTACTGATACTACTTATTCGCTGAGTGTGAGTGTTACAAGACGTTAGATAGAAATTTTAGGATGTATAAAAACTATAAATCATAAGTTGTTCCAATCTGAGAATTCGGTAGGTACTTGTATAATGTTTCGGGCAGGATGTACAGAGTATCAAAACTTTGAACTGAAAAATGATGTATTACAAGTGTTGAAAGAACGTTCCACTTTTAAATTAATAAATATATGTACAAATTTAAAATTACAATATCTTAATTTTTAAACTTATCATTTCTTAGAGAATTAATTTTCTTCGTAATTGTTACATTATGTGGGACAGACATGAATTGTGAATTGTAAACGTGAATATTACAAATCATTTTCAGTGACCAAATAGTGTGGAGTTATTTTCGAAAGCTGAAACAGATAATCTTTTTACACTCTACACGAGACATAACTATATTAATCGAATAGCAACATACTATCTCTATGTAAGCTGCGTCATGAAGCTTTATTAATTCTAAAATCAATGCTTTACAATAATCTAAAAATTACATTCATAGTAAATTGAAAAAATACTAAATAGTCAGCTTGAATTTTAGATGCAAGGACGCAGATTGATCAAAATTTGTTTTCTTCCTTGTAGAGTTTAGGCATCGCTTGCTATGTTATACTGTTCTCTTATAACTACTTGAATATACATATATAAGGTGTCGTTGAAGCACCAGTACAGCCTCATGAGGATCGATTCTATATGAGAAAATAAATGAAAAATTGAAAAATAACATTTCTTTATTCAACGTCTTTTAATCAATATTGAGTGTTCTATTTTATTTAAAATTTAGATATCCCGTTATATTAAACAAATAAGTCGACAGATAAGAACAAATCCGTATTTTAATAACGATACTTCTTGAAATGAGGCTCAGTGTAAATACAATATTTTCCAAAACCGACGCCTCAATACTCTGAAAATGTTATTTTGCTATTTCATTTTATTTGTTCATATAGTCTCGATCTATTTGGAATTGCACTACTACTCGAATATTGCCATTTACAGGTCGTTTCAAAATTTTGCGATTGAATTTTGCCAATATGTTGTATGAACAAAGTAGATAAAAAGTATATCGTCAATTTTGGAAATTAAGAATTATGTCTATGAATCAAAGATTTATGATCAATTATAATGTCTAACATTATTTATTAAGGGTCGAACATGAAAATAACACAAGAAAAATGCACAACATTTCAATTACGTGTACTATCACGTACAAATGTACATACTGATAATTACAAATCTATACCTACTACATCGATTAATTTGTATGATCTCAATTCATAAATGTAACTCGGACCATCTAAAGATATTATTATGGTCTCAAAACATTTCTT